GCGTTTCCGCGCCAGGCGGCGGGCGCGCACCTGACGTCGGAGGCCTTTTTTTTTTCCGCGGGCGAACCAGCTTGCTAAGCGCGAGATCCCGTCAGTGAACTTGCCTGTTGGACCGCCCCTACCTCCACCTGCTCATTCCGACTTCGAATTGCAGATAAATCAGGCCCTGCATCAGTTCAAGGGAGAAGCAGGTTTTCGCACCCCCAGCCTGAAGAGAGAACCGAGTTAGGGAACAGGTCAGACAACGTTTACACGGAGTGGCGCACCACGGCCCGGGGAAAGCTCGAATGAGGTCTTTCACCACCACCCCGCTACAGGCAGACGAGGGGGCCTCCCGCGTCGAGTCAACCAGGTGGATCTCAGGACCCTCTTCATCGCTCGGGACGACCTTCGCCCCTCGGAGGCGCGTTGCATCGGTTGGCTGGCCAGGCGCCTGCAAGAGCTGCGCCCCCTTTTCGCTGACCCCGATCGCAGGTGCACCAGGGGCGAATTTAAACCTCCGAAAGCACACCAGGAATAAGGTTTCCTACACAAAAAGCGAGGCGGGCCGTTCTCCAGGTTCTGGCCCAAGGGCGCGCGATGGCGCATGTGTTTGCGCGGCAGGCTCTTCCCTCTTTACTCCCGACCCATTGGTCCCGGGATGAGGAGGGGGGGGGGGGGGGCATGAGTGCAATTAGTAAATGCATCGAGCATCTCCACGAGCTCGAAACGCATTGCCTGGCCAAGGAGATAGCCCAGCAGAGAGCTGGATTGAGCAAGCGGTGACGGAGCCAGACGGCGCGATCACATCTTCCTTTTCGGCAGATTCGCCAGCCAGATGTTTATTTCGAAAGGGGGCTCGGGGAGTTGGACAGGTGGCCCCACTTGCCCCCGAACGAGAAGAAGGGCCCCATGTCCCCCCAGGCCCCGACGTTGATGAGCAGCGGAGTTCGTCACGAAGTTTCAAAACTGCGACCGTCGCCATTGACGGATGCTACCCGAGGCATTTCGCCTCTTTGGGGGATGGGGCCCTGACGGCCCCGTCGGGGGTCTTCGCGGCCATGAATATCCTTGGGGGGGGCGCCCCGTCAGCTCCGAGGCAGCTCGCCATTGTCCCGCGTGGAAAAGCCTCTCGAAGGCCGACGGCCATTAGGTTTCTACCAATCCACCATTGGGCTACTCTACGAGCCCGGCGAACGTCTGCAGGAGGTGGGAATCTGTCAGCGTTGCCAGTCCTCTTGAACATGGCCCGGCACAAACCTACGACTGATGCGGCATGGCGGCAGGCTGTGCGCAACGACCTTCGCCACAACCAAGGCAAATACATTGGGGTCCTGCTTGCTGACCTCGAACATTGCTACGAACGCGTTTCCCTTTCGGCTTTGCAGAATGAGTCCAGACAGTGCGCGTTCCCCGCGCATGTGGCCAGGCTCACTCTTGCCAGCTGCCGCTGGCCTCGTCGTCCGGTGATGGACTCGGCTCTCAGTGGCCCTTGACCCCACTAGGGGGGCCGTGGCTGGGCCCTCGGCGGCCACATACGAGATTAAGGCGCATGTGCCCCCATGGACCAAGACCCTTGATTTTGGCGAAGATGAGGATCTCACTGTCCACATTGACGACATCACAACATCGGTGGCCATGCCGACCGCGACGAGCAATTCGAACGGCCTGGCGCACCTCGCTGGGCAGATTCACTACAGCATGATTAACGAACTCGAGCTTCCCGTTGTCTTGAAGAAAACGCAGTTCACTACCAATTCCAGCGAGGTGGCCAGGGATGCCCCAAGGATGCCGGGCAAATATGGACACGCCGCTGCTGGCCACGTCGACAACCTCGGAGTGGATTGCGCCCTCGGTTGCCTTCCTTCCGCCAGAGGGGCCAGGGCCAAATCGAAGGCCCGCTGAACGCAAGGCCTCAAGAGGCCCCCCCTTGCTCAGGAGGAGGAGAGGGACGACGGCCAGCAAAGGCGAGATCTTTGTTTGCTTCACCGAGCCGAGCCTTGCGCATGGAGAAGAGGCGCAAAGGCGCCCCCCCAAAGAGGTTAATGTTCTTCGCCTCTAGATGGCCAAAAGCACAGGCCCATGGGGCGCTGGCGCCAACATGGGCCCATGCTGGCGTCTGGCGCCCTCCATGGATCCAGCTGCGCACGCCGCCGCCGCCCCCCGCAGGTGCAACGCCGAGCGGCGGCCTGGTGCGGGCGCCCGGCTTTGGGCGGAGGATGACTCGTCGGCCCGCGAATTGCGGGGGGCTTTCCATTTAGCTCGTTGGAAATTAGAACGACATCCCACCCCATGCCTCCGGCGCCGCGTGGCCTCCAGCCCCATTCGCGATATGTCGCTTTGGAACAGGAAGGCTGGTCGGGAATGGTTGGCCCCCGCCCGCGCCCGCGCGAAAGGGGGCACCGTTTGCGATTTGACTGTCGCCCCCCCCAGTCCAGCTCCAGAGCCTCGTTGGAAAGGACATCCAACGGCAGCAGTTACATAGAGTGGCGCGTTATACATTACAAGGGGTCAAGTCGAACAGGGCTGACCATATCCGCCTTAGGGGTTCGCGGGCCCATCGCGTCCGCAGGGCATGGCACTCGTCTAAGCACTCCGTTGAAGATAAGCAGATTATGCGTCGAGTTTTTTGTGCGGGATGCTACTGCACTGGCGCGGCTCTCTACCAGCGAGGACACAACGTTTCGCCAAAGTGCCGGCATTGCGGAGCCCCTGGCACCACTTACCATAGGGTTTGGGCGTGTCCGTTCGGGAATGATCGTCGCCAGGAGCTGGGCCCTGAGCCCGTCGATGCGGCTCGAGAAGCTGGACCCATGGACCCCCTTCTCAGCTGCCTCTGGACCCCTGTCTCCGCCGTTGAAAAACCCTCTAGAGGAGGTAAAATCGACCAGTTTGTTTTAGACACCCCTGGGATGGAAATCTCTATTGACGGCTCCGCGGCCCACCCCACCATCCCGCACCTTGCGAAGGGAGGGGGGGGGGGCGGCGCGCTGCTGAAGTCACTGAGAACGGCGCCCACGCGCGCCAGCAAAGACACTGGAGGCAGGTATACACACTCACACTTACATGAAGGGTTGCGTGATACATAAGTGCAAAGCTCACCAAGACCAGGCCAAAGGAGATTGGGCGATGGAGGAGCACGGGAGGGCCCCTCGGGAACGGGTGGGCCGATATCTCTGCCAAAGAAGTTGCCGCGCGCCAGGCCTCACCCAACGATGTCAAGACAGTTGAAGCAGCAGGTGAACTCTGGCTGGACGTTGTTTGTGATGTCGGTTCCCTTTTGGGGGCCCTGGGGCCGAGCTCTCAACCTTTTTGGGCGAGCTGGAGAAGATCCCGAGGGCCCCCCGGAGGAGAGACGTGGACAGGGGAACGCATGGCCCCCACGACTCCGCGCGGGGGCCTGCATAGTTGGCAGCGCGTGGGCTTCGGCCGCTCGAGGTTGCAGCCCTGGCGGTGCAGGCGCGGCCCCTGCGCGCCCCTTTTCCAAGGTCTCTTGCCACTGCTCTCTGCCCGCCCGCTCCCGCTGCACCGCCCCATGACCTGTGGGCAGGCAGGATCACTTCAACAGGAGCCGCAGCTTTTTGCTGCAATCGCTGTGGGTCATACACCACTGGTCGTGCTACTCGTCTGGCTGCTCCGTGTGCGACCCACAACATATCTAACTAAGAAAGCTGCGGAACGGAGCTTTGCCTTCCCCCCAGGGGCTCGTTTCCCAAACCATGGAGGGTCATCGAGCAATCCCTGGGACACCTCCTGTATGGGCCAGCGCTCCTGACCGCATGATCATATTTTGATTGCAAGTTTCTCACTCCCTTGGCTGAGCACCCTGTCCTCGAGCTCTCGGGCGCCCCCCGGAGCGCGTCACTTTCATATCGAACCCCGCAACAGGTGGGAGAGGGTTCCGATCATGCATTGGTTCGCCTCTAGGCGCCTTGCATGAATGCAGGAGGAGGAGGAGGAGGAGGAGAGGAGGAGGAGGGGGGGGGAGGAGGAGGGGAGGAGGAGGAGGAGGAGGAGGAGGAGGAGGAGGAGGAGGAGGAGGAGGATCCGCGGAACACAGAATGCACCACGGAACTTGCAACCCGGTAGCTGGATCACCCAAGAGTGCGTCACAAGGTTGGCACCAGTAAGATGGGGCCTCACGGAATTTGCATCACACAGCCTGCAACCCTTAGGTTCACGGAGTAGATTGCACCACGCGGCTTGCACCGTATTGTTTGCAACGCATAAGTTGCACCACGTAGGTTGCACATAGTTTGCACCGCATTGATTGCAGGCCTCAGGTTGCACCATCCAGGCTGCACATCACACACACGCACACACATAGAGAGAGAGATCACAACATAAATTGCACAGCTGAGCTTGCACAATTCAGCTTGTATTACATATATTGCATCCCGTACATTGCACGACCAAAGCTGCGCTACACACGTTGCACCAAATAGGATGTATAACAAAGAGCACACTACATGCATCCAAACCTACACCTTCGTATAAAAGTGCAACACATAGGCGTCACCACACACACACACACACACGCACGCACGCACGCACACACAGAGTCTCAGATACACCGCGAATTCCGCACATCGAAAATGCAAGACACAACTGTTTCGTGTCTTCCTTTTTACACATAAGTCTTACATCACTGACACGAGGACCAGGATGAGGAGGGTGAAGAGGAAAAAGGAGTTCGACGACGACGGCGACTCAAGTGGCGGCAATGACAACGTTCACAAATGGGGGACGTCAGGAGGGTAGTCATGAGGATGATGAAGATGAGAGGAGTGCAGCGCTGTTCGTTGGGGGGATCACGCGGACGTCGAAAGCAGTGGAGCTGTGAGAACGAGGGCGGGACGAGGATGAGAGTGGCAGCAATGCCACCACCAGTGCCCGCGGGATAGCCCGAGCCGGCGCCTGCAGGGCTTTCGGGGGGGGGTCGCCCGCGCCGGCGCCCGCGGCATGGCCCTCACCGCGCGGGACAGACGGGAGGCCGGGTGTTCTTGTCGGGGGGCGCCGAGGTGCAGATCGACAGCGGCTCGGGGTACTCCGAGAAGGCCACCGTCAAGGAGAGCGAGCAGAAGATGGTCCTGGTCTTGGACCAGGGGCTCCAGCACAGCTACCCCGCGGGAGCCTCCGCGCGCGCTGCGGCGCGCGCCCCCCCCCCCCCCCCCCTGCGCTAGCCTCGCGCCGACGGGCGCCTTCCCGCGTGTGCTCTCGCACCTCGGGGGCGCGGGCCCGGTGCGCGGCGAGCCCCCGCGGCCCCTTGCCCGTCGTGGCCTCTGCTGCCTGGGGGGCCCCCGCGCTCGATTGGGCTTCCAGCCCCCCCCCCCCTCCACGATTTCCCCCTCCGCCCTCTCCCCCCCCCTCCCCGCCCCGCACCCGCTCCCTCCCCCCCCTCCCCCCTCCCCTCCCCCTCCGCACCCGCCGCCCCCCCCCCCGCCCCGCACCCGCCCCTCCCCCTCCGCCGCCCCCCCTCCCCCCCCCCCCCCACCTCCACGATTTCCCCTCCGCCCCCCCCCCCCCCCTCTCCCCGCCCCGCACTTGGCCCACGCCACGGGCACGGGGGCCGCCGCGGAGAAGCGGCCGCGGGGCGCGCGCGCCCGCGCATACGGGTTTTTCGCCTGCCCTCGCGGCGCTGACCCGCGTCGCGGCGGCGCTGCGGGTAGGTCCGACCCCTTTGCGAGCACCTGGCCCACGCCACCGGCCCCGTCAGGCCAGCCCTGGGCATCTGCACGTCGTGCCGCACGCGCTCCGCTGCTCACTGTCTCGCCTTCGGCCTGGCATGTTTCCACAGAGAGGCTGCCCGAGTTGCATGGGGGAGGAGGAGGAGGAGGAGGAGGAGGAGGAGGAGGAGGAGAGGAGGAGGAGGAGGAGGAGGAGGAGAGGGATAGGGGAGGAGGAGGAGGAGGAGGAGAAGAAGGAGGAGGAGGAGGGGGAGGAGGCCCAGGCGCGCCTGTGCGTCTTGCGTTGCTTGGCGGTTGCGACACGTACACCTCCAAGCGGCTGTTCGTGTCGGCCCGCCCCGTGAAACGCAGCGTGCGGCCGTCGTTCGTGACAGGTGGTGTCCTCTTCGAGTGCTCCTTTTCAGAATTGTGTCGACTTGCTAGTTTTGCGTTTATGTGAACATAATGTCACATGTACACACTGTGTATCATATATACACATACACAAACATAGATACATGCATGTATGCATGCATGTATGCATACATACACACATACAGGCAGACATGCATGCATGCATACATACACATACAGATGTACATATCTACCTACCTACCTGCCTACCTACCTACCTATCTAATTACATACATACATACATACATACATACATACATACATACATGCATACATGCATACATGCATACATGCATACATGCATACATGCATACATACAGTCATGGATGTATGTATGCATGCATGCAAACATATATACATACACGCATGTAAACCTGCATACAGACAGACAGACAGACAGACAGACAGACAGACAGACAGACAGACAGACAGACAGACAGACAGACAGACATATATACATACAGACACACACATTTACATGCATGCATGCATGCATGCATGCATGCTTACATACATTATATATACATATATATATGTATGTACGTATGTATGTATGTATGTATGTATGTATGTGTATGTATGTATGTATGTATGTATGTATGTATGTATGTGTGTATATGTATGTATGTATGCATGTATGCGTGTATGCATGTATGTATGTGTGTATGTATGTATGTATGTATGTATGTATGTATGTATGTACGTATGTACATGTATGTACATGTATGTATGTATGTACATGTATGTATGTATGTATGTATGTATGTATGTATGTATGTATGTATGTATGTATGTATGTACATGTGTATACATACATGGATCCACCGTTTTGCGTCAGCTGTAGATCTTGGCACAATGGTCCTTTCTCGTTGAAGCCACGGTTCGGACTTCCATCAGTTCCACAGTCTTGGCCACATTGCTATACATTGGCAGCGGGTCTGAGAGTGTACGTCGCTGGCGCATATTTCACCGACGGTTTTGATGCGAATGCAAGAGGGGCAGGCGCGATTCGAGAGCTGGTCTGTTCAGCGGACGCATGGCATTTGGCCAGAACGTGCATCACGCATGAAGGCAAAAACACATGTTACATCATGCCCCCCAGGGACAGCCTTTGGAGGCTCCTTCGCCACCTCAAGCCACTTCAAGCCACTTCAAGCCATCTTGGCACCGTCTTCGGACCTCCGGGAGCCATTCTGGAGGCCAGTGTGAGCCAGCCTTCGCGATCTTGGATGCCACACTGGGCTACCTCGAGCCACTTTGGGGCCATCTCGGACGCTTGGACGCCTCGCAATCGGGGAGACTAGACCCCTCAGGGCGAGAACCACAAGTCGGGTGCGGTGAAACGCACAGGGGAGGAAGCAGACGATGAAGAGGAGGAAAATGAGAAAGAGGATGAGGAGGACGGACGGAGCGTGGAGGGAGGGCGAGTGGACGGGAGAGCGAGGAGGGAGCAGGGAGAATGAGCAGGTGCAAGCGGGCGAAGGAGATGAGCTGGGTTCCCTCCTCCTCCTTCCCCCTTCGCCAGAAGGGGGAGGCAGGAGGGCCGAAGGAGTTGCTCTCTCTTCCTCGGCAGAAGGGCGGCGGAAGGAAGCAGGCCGAGGCCGCCCCCGCGGGCGGAGGGCCGGCGGAGGGCCGGCGGAAGCAAAACGACGCGCCCCCGAGAGATGAAAACGCCCTTTGGGCTTCAGGCCTTCCAGCATCCACCATCTGTCGCCGCGCCTCAGAGCGTGAATTACCTACCCCGCTTTCGCTTCCAGGAAAAACCAAGTCGTGCCACGCGCCTCCTCGTCGAGCGACCTGTCCAGTACAGGCCGTAGTTTGGCATCGCTTTTTGTATCTCTTGGAAGCGAGGGCGGTCAAAAGCGAGGTAGGCTTGTCTTCCCCCTAGCGCCGTTTGTTCCGACGCGCGGGCTCCCGTCTTGGGAAAGGGCGCCGCGGCAACGTGGGGCAAGCGCCGCCGCGGGCGCGGCGGGTCTGCTCGGGCGCGGTGGGTCTGCCGATTGGGGTTTTCTCCGCGGCGCCGGCGTCGCCCGCTCGGGGCGCGAGGCGCAGGGCCTGCCGTGGGTCTGCCGCGGTGTCGGCGCCGTCCACTGGGGCGCGTCGAGGGCAAACGGCGGCACGTGTTTTGCCGCGGCGGCGAGAGGTGGAGGCACCAGCAACGACATGAACGTACAAGCTCGGAGGTCCGCGCGGGTTCCTCGGATCGGCGCTGGGGGCCCCTGGCGGCGCCTCCGGTCGCTGCCCCTGGCGCGCTCCCCGCGCCAGGGAGGGGGGTCCAGCGCCGATCCGAGAAAAGCGGGCGGACCTCCGACGTTTCATGTGTATGTCGTCATTAACCAGGAGGGGAAAAACACACAGACACAATCAATCCACGATTCCCCAGAAAATATGGGAAAATATGGGAAGTGGGGGGGGAAGACAATAATCCAGAAAATATGGGAAAATATGGGGAATCCTTTTTTTGTGTGTGTATTTATTCGTGTGTCCCAGGGCCCCTTGAATTAACAGAGTCTGCGGCAGAACTTGCAAATGCTGCATGGCACAGTTCTCCACAAGACAACGGCTCCTAACGCACCTGCGCTACAGAAAAGCACGCTGCCACGCCTACTACCTACAACAGCACATACCACCCATTCCACTTGATACGATGCAAGCACTGCAGCAGAGTAACCGACTAGACACTCGGGCGAGCGACTCCAGCGATCAAGCCAGCTGACTACAAACGACACGCACGAGAGCATTTCATGGCACCCATACCACAAACCACGGCTCTCGACACACAGCACACAGTCCGCCATCCCCTCACGGGTAGCAGAAGCAGTCATACGTGCATATCTCCTGTACTCCAAAATGGTAAATGTTGCCTCGACCTCCAACAACACCTGGAACACAACTTCATCACACAGAAACATACGTGCGCCAGCATTGGCCATGACGATGATTCGCGATCCGGCCTAGCAGTACAAGAGGTCACTGACACCTGGGCCCAGCGCCTTATCCAAGGACAAGTGGTAGACATTACTGCTAGATCACCAATGACACATGGACAGCTCCAACGACACACAGGACAACGATGGAGCAGCTCCTGCGCACAAGACTGCCCAACAGACAAGTGCAAAACATGCTCCCACTCCTACACGTGGCCAACGACACGAAAACTCCCGCCATCTCGTTTCCAAAACAGCCTAGATGGCACTTAAGCGCACCCAACATACGGCAGAACATTTCAACTTCAACGAGTAGCATCACACTCGCAAGTTATCGACTTCGACCAACGCACCTTTGGCAATCCGACAAAACCACCGACAAGATCATTGACGCCGCATCTCCTTACACTGGCTACAGAGATCTCCTCGAGACAGAACAGAAGCAGATGCAGCTGTCTATCACGCAGCCCTGCAGACCTACTACCACTCAAGGGCACGCATGAACACCGTAGAAAGCACCACCGACCGACACGCCCAAGTACTTGTCCGCGCCGTGGTGCCCATAGCCTCGTACCATGTATGGGAGCCCTACAGGGCATGCCTGGGGGCGATGCACAGGAATCACAGTGACGTTGCCAAGCATACCTACTGGGCCTCACATGCCTCCTCACCTTCACCCATGTGCTATCATTATTTGCAGCGTGCCCAATGACAATTTCCCGAGGCCAGCCTGCAGTGACAGTGCTAGCCTACGATCGACAGCATGCAGTTCCCTGTCGTATTGTCTCCCCTTAAGCGCACTAGGCCAACCTGCAATGGCACCGCCAGCCTCGTGGCACCAACGCCCGTCCAATACCGCCGAATTCGCTGCAGCATTGTATTTGGGGAGCGGATGGGGGGTCGGAGGTCGGTGGAGGAGGATACTGTTGCAACGCGCTTACCAGCTTGATTCCGCCAGCCCCCAGAGCAGAATCCGAGTTGTGGAAAGCATATCGTGGCCATGCTGGCCAGTCGGTAGGGGGCGCGCCCGCAATTACAGGGCCCATCCCACTGCGGCCGACCGAAATCAGCATTCCACATACATACATACATACATACATGCATGCATGCATGCATGCATGCATGCATGCATACATACATACATACATACATACATACATACATACATACATACATACATACATATATATACACACATGGTATTGTTGTGCAATCAACTTTAAGCCTTCGTCTTACCAACCCGTTGCTTCGTCTCACCAACCCGTTGCATCACAGCTTGCCGTTCTCAGGCCAGCCAGTATAATTCGCGCCATGGTGGGGAGAATGGAGTGGCGGTGGGAGGGCTACCGAGCCCACACCACTTGGCAGTGAACATACTGTACGAGTCTTTCGTTGACTTCCCTGTTCGGTGTCGTTCCCTCGGCTGTCGGTTATTCGTTCGACTCGGTCATTCGATTCCCCCCTCTCCATCTTGGCGGTCGGTTCTGTTACTCTGCGCTTTTTCTGGGCACTCCGCTTTTCCTATATGTTTCGCCTTCTCCCGTAACGCACGAGCATGCCGCAGAGCTCACATCTTCTCCCCACTGTGCCTGAGTCGGCTCTTGCTGCATTGCTGGAACGCTACGCTGCAGCCATGACGGTCGAGCTCGCCCCCCAGGAGCAGGAGCAGGAGGAGGCCCCCCTCCGCCAGGAAGTGCGGTCACCACCCTGCCCCAGGACACGCCTCCGCGGTGAGACCCGCGCGGGCCGGCCGGCGCCGTCGGGACGGCCGCGCCGCGCTGGAGCGGAGGCCGCCCGGCCGCGAGCTCTCTCGCGGCCGCCCTTCTGCCCCGGCGGCGCGCCTCGTCGCCGAGGTCCGAGGCACGTCGTCGTCGTCGTTATTGACGACGTCGGCGCCGTCGCTGGCGTCTTCGTCGCCGCCCTTCTGCCCCGGCGGCGCGCCTATGCGCCTGGGGTCCCGTTTTTTTTTAGCGCCTCGACAGAGGAAGGCGGCATGAGCATGAATGTTCGGCGCTCCGCGCGGAGTTCTTGGATCGGCGCTGGAACCCCCTGGCGGCGTTTCTGGCGCTGCCCCTGGCGCGCTCCACGTGCCAGGGAGGGGGGTCTGGCGCGGATCCTAGAAGTCGTGCGGACCTCTAATATCTTATGTGTTTGCCGTTAGTGTTGCTCTAGGTCCGAGGTGTTCAAACGTTTCCGTCGGTTCTCGGCGGGTTTCCAGCCTCGGGGAGCTCTCAAACAGTTACGCCTCGCCGGAGGCGTTCTGGGGGTGCCCGGATCGCCCCGAACGACCGCCGAAGGCCCGAGGTTACAGAATCACGCATGATTCGGCAGTATGTCTCAAGGTTTCTCAAGATCTTAGGGGTTTCTTCAGAGTTCGTAAACGAGTCGTACGGAGCCTCGTGCGAGCCACAGGAAGACCAGGCCATCAATTTTTCAAATGGCTCACCCAAACAAAACCATATAAAACACATGTTTTTTTGTCCGGGAGGCCCAGAGGCCTTCAATTGTTCATGGGCGCCCCCCAAAACATTCTAGATCAGATATTTGATTTTCCAGGAACCTAGAGACTTTCAATTTTTCGTAAGGGTCTTCCAAACAAATCAAGATAAAACATTCTAGTTTACGGGAACCCAGAGGCCTTCAATTTGTCATAGGGACCCTATTATAGCTCTGTAAAAGAAACAATTGTTTTCCCCGGGAATCCAGAGGCCTTCCAGTTTTCAAAGGAGCCCCGACTTAAAACCTACATAAAAACAGTTGTTTTTTTCTATGAATCCAGAGGCCCTCCAGTTTTCATGAAACTACTTGTTTTTTTCAGGAATCCAGAGGTCCTCCAGTTGTCATAAGGGCCCCTATTCCAATTCTTCACGCTTCGCGTATCCCCACCAGCCCATCTCAAAACAGCAACTCTAGCGAAGCATGCCGACAGTCGTGTTTTTCAGGCGTGTTTCCGCCTGCCCCCGCATATCTCCCCTGTTCCTCCTTCCTCCCGCCTCCTTGTACATCCTCCTTGTGGTGGGAGCGGGAGAAGGACGAGGCGGAGGAGGAGGGAGAGAAAGCGTTCCTCGTGGTTTGAGTCGTTCGGGTTCTCGTCCTGGTGTGAGTCGTTCGGGCCCTTCTTCCTGGTGTGAGTCGTTCGGGCTCTTCGTGGTGTGAGTCGTTCGGGCTTCTCGTGGTGTGAGTTGTTCGGGCCCCTCGTCCTGGTGTGAGTCGTTCGGGCCCCTCCTCCTGCCCGTCCAGAAACGACGCCCAGGCGAGTAGAGGGTCGTCCTGATGGGCTTTTCGGCGTCTTGGGTGCCTCGGGGGGGCCTCTTTGGGCCGTTTGGGATCCTCTTGGGGGCCTCCTGGGGGCCTCTTGGGGCCATCTTGGGGCCTCTTGGTGCCTCCTGGGCGCTTCTTGGGGCCATCTTGGAGGAAATCGATCAAAGAAGAGGGGAGCTTTAAGTAGCGCTGCCCCCTCAGAAGGCCAAAATGGTGCCAAAACCTTAGTAAAATCAATGATTTTGGCTTGAAAGAAGAGGGGAGCTTTAATTAGCGCTGCCCCCTCAGAAGGACAAAAATGGTGCCAAAACCGTTGTAAAATCAATGATTTTGGCTTCAAACAAGAGGGGAGCATTTTTCTGCCTCCCCCCGTCGGGGCCAGAATCCTCGTGAGGGGTGTCGTTTTTTAGCCCTCCCAGGAGTCGAAAAAGACCCCTCCAACCACCCGCGGGGCGCCCTCTCTAGGCCCAGGGGGAGGGGGTAGGGGGAGGGGTAAACCCCTCCCCGAAGGGGAAGAAGGGGGGTTGAGAACAGAGAGAGCTCTCTAAACCACTCACGCCCAAAGGGCTGGTGGGATTCTATATAAAACAGTTGTCTGTTTTCTAGGAGTCCAGAGGCCTTCCAGTTTTCACAGGGGTCCCTAGTCAAATTCTATACAAACAAATGTTTTTCTGGGAACCCACCGGCCCTCCAATTCTTATCCAAAAAACCAAATGTTTTTGGAGGGTCGCGCGCCTGCTGCTCCTACCTACTTACCTACTTACCTATTGACGTGCCGACCTACCGACCGACCTACCTAGTTACCGACCGACCTACCTACATCGACTACTCTATGTTTTGCTGGTGCTGCAATTGCTATCGCAAATATTCGCGATCGTATTCCTCTGCTTCCGAATAACAGCATCCGTATCCTTGCTGGTGTAATGATGGTAACTAGGACTGTTCCTCATATGTGTATGTTCTCTATTGTGGTAGTACATCCGCGTTGATGGTACCGCTGTTGCGATGAGTCGCCTTATCGTCTCTATTACATGACCATGCGTACATTCCTTGTTATATCCATGCACCCCCTGCCCCCTCCCCCCCCTCGTCCGCGCGCATCTGCCTCCGGCCACAATGCGCACCCCACCTCCCCCATGTTGTTGGGCGGTCTGTGCAGGCCTGGCTCCCGGCCGCGTACGCAGCGGATGCAGCCATGTGCGTTCCCGGCTTCCTGGAAATATGCGAGAGGCGTGCGACCATCCACCGTACATTCTACGGACACCTTGAGAGAAACATGAGCTTCCATACGCTCCAGATTTCGCTTGAGGGAATCAGGAATCTGGATTGGGCCCTGGGCGTGACCTCAGAACTGCCTTGATTCGTAGAACTTCCGTGTATGTGGACCTCAACTACGGTTTCAGAAAACGCTCGGAGTGCCGTCCATCCTCTCACAGTGGAAACCCATGCCCAGAAACACCATGCTTGCTTCGATGTTCGATGCGTGCCCTGGGTTCCTTGGGTTTCGGTGGTCTTGCGATGGAGAAAGTGTGACGTCCACACACCAAACATCAGGACGTCCTGGGGTATCACGGTGGGGTTTTCTTGTGGGAGGTTTCTTGTGGGCGAGCCTCCATTGTAAAACTGTTCTACTCTGCTGAGCAGGGGTGCAGGCGGTCGACCTCTCCTGCGGTGGACCGAGTCTGCCGTCTGCTCGGCTCGCTCGTGGCGCCCTCCTCCCGCGTGGGCCCGACCGCGCCGACATGGCATGCAAGCGCGGCAATGTCATGGAGGAGAACGTGGAGGAGACGAGTGAGTAAGGAGGAGAAGGAGATGGAGGAGGCTGAGGAAGAGAAGGAGGAGGAGGAGGAGGAGCAGGAGGAGGAGCAGGATGGGGAGAAGGAGGAAGAGGAGGGGGGTGACGAGCAGGAGGAGGGGGAAGGGTGGAGGGGGAGAAGGGGAATAATGATGATTATGATGAGGAGGAGGAGGAGGAGGCGGAGGAGGAGGAGGGGGAGGAGGAAGAGAAGGAGGAGGAGGAGGAGAAAGAGAAGAAGCAGCAGATGAAGGAGGAAGAGGACCAGCTCCCTAGCTAGCTTGCAAGCGCCGCGCCGCGGCCCCCGGGCTTGGTTGCAGCTCCCCTGGTCGACGCCGCGGAGGTCGCCAAAGGCGACCCCGGCTGCCAGGCAGAGCTGGGGCCCTGCACGCGTGGGGGCACGCCGTCGGCGTCGTCGTCGTCGTCGCCGCGGAGACCGCTAAAGGCGATCCCGGCTGGCGGGGAGAGTCTGGGCCTCTGGGCGTGTGCCGGCGAGCGAGGGGGGGAGCGAGAAGGAGAAGGCGTTCGCAGAAGGCGGCGGGGCTTCCCAGAAGCCTCGCAGGCCCTCGGAAAGGTGTTCTGTGTCTTCGGGGAAGGCTTGGACAACTTCGCAGACGACAGTGGGACTTCCGAGCCTTCTGAGAAGGCCCGCCCCTTCTGACCTCCCCCGCGGGCTCGCCGCCGAGGGTGGGGGCTGGGAGACGACAACATCGTCGTCGTCTTCGTCGTCGCCGCCGTCGTCGTCGTCGTCGTCGTCGTCACCGTCGCCGTCGGTTTCGTCGTCGGCTTCGTCGTCGTCGTCGTCGTCGCCGTCGGCGTCGTCGACGGCGGCGTCGTCGCCGTCGTCATCGTCGTCGCCGTCGCCGTCGCCGTCGCCGTCGCCGTCGTCATCGGCGTCGTCGTCGGCGTTGTCGTTGTCATCGGCGTCGTCGTCGTCGCCAGGGCGGCGAGGGCGAGGCGAAGGGAAGCGCAACGGTTACCAGAGGGGGGACCAACAATCTTTATACTTCAGTAATGAGAGTTCAACAACAACAACAACAACAACAACAACAACAACAACAACAACCACGACGACGACGACGATGACGACGTCGACGACGACGACGACGACGACGGCGACGACGACTTCGGCGGTGATTCCGACGACGAGGACCACGGCGACGCCGACTACGAGGAAGGGGCAGGGACAATGTATCGCTGAGGCTGGCCAAAGTGCCACGTGAGAGGCACCCGCGGGGTTTGGTGGGCTGGCCGTGGCGCGGCGCATGGAAACGCGGCCCGACGCGCGTCCCCGTGTTCTTTCTCCTTCGTCATCGTCACCGTCGTGTTCCTGCTCTTTTTGTTTTACGTCCCTCCCACTCGTCGTGTACGTCGTCCTTCCTTGATCGCCCTGTGAAGTATCCTGCCCCCCTTTCCTCCCTTGCGTCCTTCTCCCCCTCCGCTTCGTTCTGCTCTTTCTCCCCATGATCCCCCTCTCCGCCCCCTCTGCTCCCATCCGTCCTGTATCCCGACCCGGCGCGTCGCTTGATGTGCTCGTTGCCATTCTCTACTCCATCTTCCCTTCATGCCCGCCTCCCCCTCGAAGCCATTATCCTCCTACGTGCTCTTCTCTTTCCTCCCCGCCCGTCTCCTCTTCCCCGTTCCTCCATCCTGCCTCCCTCCCGATCCCCTTTTCCAGCTCTCCATCTCCCTGCTTCTGCTCCTAATCCCCCGGGGCTCGAGCCAAACGGTGCTTTGGCGATTTCGTGGACCGTCGTCGTTTCCAGTTCGTTTCGCAGCAGAGGCAGACAAAAAAAAACATAACTAAGGAAAACAACTAACAAACGAGGACGAGCAACACTGTTTAGCTCGAGCCCTGTGCTCCCCATCCTCCTCCCCCGCACCCATCCTGTGGCCGCTCTTGGGCAGCATCATGCGCGCAGGCTTAACAAAACAAGAGGGGTCTTGCGACACTTCCGTGCTTCCGCGCGCGAGGGGGAGCGTGGGAGCAGGCACGACGGGTGCCTCGCGAGAGCTGCTGGTTTGCGCGCGGGGACGAGGAGGAGCAGAGTCGGCGGCGAGCGAGGGAGGGAAGCGAGAAGGAGAAGGTCTTCTTAGCAGGCGGCGGGACCTCTCGAAAACCCTTGCGCCCTCCGAGGTGTTTGTTTCTGTATCTCTGGGGGCGGCTTGGGAAACCTTGCGGAAGCTCGGAGGACCTCCGAGCCTCCCGAGAAGGCCTTCTCCTTCTCATGCCCCCCCTCCGCTCGCCGCCGACAGAGGAAGGAGGACAGCCGAGGGCACGGAGGAGGAGGAACGAGCAGGACGACGACGATTACAGCGAGCGGCTTGAATAAGGAACCCTTTTCGTTGGGGAGGGGCTCGGTGTTCCTTGATTGTTTCACAGTTTGCCTCGGGTGTTCCTGAGGTTTTCCATGGAAAATCAAAGTTACATTTATAACGAAAAGGGGCCTCGTTCCTGATTTAGGGTTCCTTAGGTCAACGCCCCGACAGTACGACGACCAGAGCAAACCAGGGGTGCATCAGCGATGCTGTGGTGCGCCATCCCGTTCCAGGTCCCCCCCCCGACGCCCCCTAGAGGTTGACACCAACACCAGTATCGGCGGTGTGCCTCCACCGAGGGAAGAAGATCCCGATCTCGGCGATGGTGCTAGTATTCTGGCTGCCCAGGTGACCGAAATACTACCACCAGCACCGAGATCTAGGATCCTCTTCCCCCTGTAGAATCAGCCCCTTGTGCTGGTGTTGGTGCCCATTTCTGGGCCTGCGTTTTTCTGCGCTTCTCGCTCCGAGCGGCGTCTCGCGTGCGCCCGGAGCGCGGAGCGCGCCGCAGCAGCCCACGAGGGCCGTGCGGGCACTCAGACGGCGGCCCCGGGAACCCGGCCTCGAGGCGAGAAAGAGGACCAGGGACCAATAGATACCTCGGAATTTCTGGGCCTCCTATCGGGTCGGGCGAAAGGGGGGGATTGGGAAAGGGGGGGTTACGAAATTTGCTGCATGCAGCTGGTTTCGGCCTCACCGAGGGGCCCATTCCTCGATACATAGCCGCCTCCGGCGCCGGGAGGCGCCGGGAAAATCAGCTACGTGAGCTGATTCTCAAACCCCCCCTTTGCTATCCCCCCCTTTCGCCCGACCCGATCCTGCTGCACCCCCCCCGACGCCCCCTGCACGCCTTCCCCT